TCCCACTCTTTGAGTAGTTTGCACTGAAACAAGAAAAAGGCTGGCTGCAAGGGTAGGCAGCAATGATTTCTAGTTTCCAGGTCAAAATACTACCAGGCCCCATCTCTGACTTGCACAGATGAAACTCTGACAGCAGGTCCAAGTTTTCCTGCAGAGTAACCTTACCTGTCCTCTCTAATTCTATAGAAGAAGCCATAACCGTGGTGTACCATTGGAACAACGGCTCCTCCCACTCTGGTGTAGCCAACCAGGCTAGTTGAAAGCACAAAGTTTCCGCCTCCACCACTGGGAATTGAAAAAAATGAAAACATAACATTTCAAAACAGATATTCTCAGTCCTGAGTCTTAATACACTTGCTTTTAAGAGTAGATGATGATCCTGGAGAAAGATGATGTGTTTTATTCCTCCTCCTCCTCCTCATCTCAAGACAGATTGTCAAGGAGTGGGCATTTCCCTTGAGAATCCCCCAGTGGTCTCAGAATTAGAGGGAAGGATATTATCTACATCCAGAATGTCCTGCATTCACTCCTTGCCCACTGGAATGGCTTGAAGAGGCACTGGCATGAGAATTCGCATTTTGATAGAGCACATGCTTCTTCAGCCTGTCATAGGACTGCTGGACCCATGAATGTTGCCTCCAACAGCAAGGCAACATTGCAGGCTCTTACAGTGAACTGCTGCCTGTCCACTTTCATTCCGTTGATTCCTATAAAAAACTGTGGCCGGATTGCCAAAGTGACCCTTGTTTCCACCATCTGAACAGATTCAAATGTTTAAAAGCTTTTAAAAACCTTCTCGTGAAAGCAGGATCCAGGAAGAGCTCTGGCATGGGCAGACTGTGTTCTTTGGACAGAAGCATGAGGCCTAAAAGGTGACGGTCAAATCCTGTCAAGAAAAATGCATGACACATTTTATGAGCAAATCATTTTCTTATTCTTGGTTGGGCTAAACAGCAAACTGCAGATTTTCTGAGGTACACATGCAAGAGACCTCCATGCAGTGAGCAGCCTATGGTTGTGCCACTTAAGCAGACTATTCAGCTTGTTGGCTAGGAGTGCAGCCAAAGCCATTGGGAGGAGTCTTCAGGTGCCCCCCCCCCCACCTGCTCTTGGCCGATCTTTTGGACATCGTTTTTCTCATTCTAAATGGTTGCAACGATTGAAAGGACAAATTGCCTCTTGTAAAGTTTAGTTACTAGCAGTAAGAACTTAAAAGCTACAATATGCTGGTCTTTTTTTGTATTTTGAGGCCTGCTTGATCTGCCTTTGGTACCACCTCCTGAGAGCTTCTTTGAAAGAGAATTTGGCCCTGGGGCTCCAAAGAGATTCCCCATTCCTGGTTACAAGTGCAATAACGTGCTGAAAGGGACAAGATGCCAACAGTGAAGCTCTCATGGGATAAGGCTTTGTTGCTTTCTGAGACAGGGAAGACTGGATTTCAGAATGTGCCGGGTCTACAGCTCAAATTAGTAGTATGTCCTAAGAAGAGGTTCAAGGCAAAAACACCAGCTCTAGCCTGTTTCAAAAGAAACAACTCCCTTGGCATCCAGCAACAAGAAATTACCTCTTCCATTCATACACTCTTTCATCAGTTTATTGTGCTTTGCAAATGCCTTCAACATAAGTTGTTTTTGTTGACTGACCTGCATAAAGAAAAAAAAGCAAAATATTTCCATCTGACTATGGCACCAAGTCATAGATCTAGAAATCCATTACCCAGCAAGGAGCACCAGGCAAAAGCATGAAGGGAAAAAAGGTATATCCTTGTTATTTCCTAAAAGTCACTTGAAATTACTCCATGTCAGTGTTTATGGCATGCAATATCAGGACAAAATGAAAACGTTACAGTTAATATAAAAATCTAGAACAATTGCTTGGTTAAAAATGTATCAGTTACCAGGACTATATCACCACCTGTTCACAGGCAAGTCCTGGTTTGCAGAGATGAGAGAAAAGTCCCTTCACAAACAACAAAACATTTATTATTTTGCTATCAGTACATCCATTTAGTCAAGTTACAGAAGTCCTATCTAGGTTGTATGTGTTTAAAAAAAAAAGCCCCACGGATTCCCATTTCAAGGTAATAGTGCAAAATCCAGTTTGTATATTGTGCCTATTTCTTTTGCTATCCATTTATGCAACAAAGAGACGGCCTTTGGCTCAGCCAAACTCCTTTGGCTGAGCCAAGGGATCATCTGCCATTTGTCCTCTCCCTCCATTGACTTCTGTCTTCTGCTATTCTACTTGCCTGCAGCAGAGGGAGAGGCAAGCAGCAGGGCCCACTCTGTCCACCCAGCTGAGAGACCAACTCTATGGCCTCACCCCTAACTACTTCCTTTCAGGCTGGACATTAGAATATGACTGGTAAGGGCTTCCAACAAAACACTGCAGTGTTTCTTTAGTGTTTGTATGTTACCTGAACTTGGGGTAAAGGGAGACGAAGAAACAGAAAGGTAGCATCAAAATCAGGAGTCTCTACTCTGAGTTGGGCCTTAATGCACTTTTTTTTTTTAGTTAATGAACATGTAGATGTCCAATTAGTTTGTGTGCTAAGCAATGGAAAATGAGGACTCTGAATGCAATCAAGTGCTTTGGTCTGGAAGGACATCTGAGGGAATAATTTTAAGGAAGAGTGATCTATGCTGCAGCCTGAGAGATACAGGGGATTTCTAACTGAGAATGCAAACCAATCTCAGCCCACCTCTGACCTGCAATATTAATATGAGACTACATTGCACAGCTGCCTTAAGCGACTCTCCTTTTGACTTTCATGAGTAAAACAGCTCTCCTTTCATGACTTATCTAGGTTATGATATGATCAACATCAAGCATTTTAGTTACCACTGGTTTCAAAAGAAAAGGATTAAGCACATGGGTTTTAGTGTTACCTTGAACACTAGAAGTTACCTTGAACACTAGAAGTTCAGCCAGTGTGGCTAAATGGTAGAAAATCCCAGACAGCCAAACAGAAGTGCTTCTGCACACAGCATGCAAAAGGACAACTGAATATGCTACCATATGATGTAGTCTGGGCAGCCAACATGGACAGCTTTGGAAGTGCAGCCCTATTAGATCGCTGCCCACTAGACAGAAACACCCTTTCTCAGAGGCTTCCAAGTATCTTCTGCCCTGCCAGCAAGATGAGAAAAGTGACAGAGGAAATCTTCTCGCCATCTTCCTTTGCACATTTCCCCCTCCAGACAGGCCTACAATCCTATCTAGAAGAGCTGTGCTGCAGGGGCCAGAACTTGGGGAGACCATAGGATTCAAAAGATCCCACCTTCTCCTCTTCTCCCTGGCCAATGGAACACCTGTTGTCCCCTTCCCTCAACCTGTCCAGGGTGGTTTCTGTGACTAAGTTCTTTTCACAATTGCTATGAACAAGAGCCTGCAGTGGAAGATTGCATGTTGTGCAAATGTCTCTGGCTTTGGGAGAGAGAGTCTAGTCTATCCTATGGTCACTGGCTGCCTACCTAGTTCCAAGTCAAATTCAAGCTGCTGATGTTAACCTATAAAGCTCTACATGTCTTGGGACCACAGTACTTGACAGAATGCCTCTCCCAGCTCAACCTGCCTGCATATTACAAGCTGGGACCTGCTTCCAACTGCATCCTCCAAGGGAGGCTTGGTTGGTGGCAACAAGGAGAAGGACCTTTTCAGTTGTGGCCCCTCCACTTATGAAACAAGCTCCCCACTGAGGACTGCTTGGTGCTAACTTTAATATCGTCTCAGTACCAGGGGATTTAATTAGTTACTATTATATTGGGCCTTTGTTATTTGCTAAACAGGTCAACTGTATCATTTATGCTATTGCAGCTTGTTATGTTTTCAATTCGGTATTACCTTTTATATAGTGATGTTTTTCTGGAGTTTTTATTGTTATCTCTATTTTATATTGTATTTTATGTGCTGTAAACTGCCCAGAGCCCTTCAGCTATTGGCAGTATAGAAATCAACTCACTCAATAAATACTAGTCCAAATGGCTATACACTATCTTTAGTACTGGAGGCATTATGCTTTTTACATTGCTGGCAACCTTGATAGGAAGAGTGCTGTTGAATTCATGTCCTAGCTGTGGCCTTTGCACAGGCACTGCAGGACTAGAATGCTGAACTGCAGTTTACATGGCAACAGCAATGAATGCAATCTCATTCATCCAGTCCTAGAAAAGAAAAAAAAATCCTCTCCAAGCAAGGAAGAGTGAACCCAATAATGTTTTAAGAAAGGAGATTTGGATTGCTTACAGTCATTGGGTAGCAACTGTACATTTCTCAGGTTTAAAGCAGATAATGACCCTTGATCACGAGAACAATGACATCATGGAGCCTGAAGATACTAAACTAAAACACACACAGGGCCAACTATGTAAAGGGATGGACAGTTCACAGGTGTATTACATCATCTCAGGGTGTCTGTTCTACAAATGAGAAAAGGGCCCGAGCCTGTGGGATTCCTGCAATGTGATCCCAGCTAATCAATGCCCAACAAGATACACTGAACAAATGCAAGTAAGACACAACAGTCCAGAAGACAGGAAAGTGGGGAGGGGAGAGGGAAAGAGGGAGAGAGAGAAGTAAATCATTCTCTAATTTTGTGAGAGGTTTCTAATTTCTGCTTCCCGATCACAAATCAAAGGGCAGAGGTCTCTCATTGACTTACAAAAATTAAAATTACAGTATCATTTGTGTGGTTAAAAGAGGATGTTATATACAGCACAAGGAAGGGATTTCATTTCCTGCCTCAAAAAGGTGTTGCTGCAGGTTGTGCATGCTGCACAACAAAACTGTTTTATCTATAGTCTCTGTCATGCAAAAAGGGGGAGATGGCATGGAAGAAAGAAAAAACAAGGGAACATGACTTATCCCCATCAAATTATGACTCTTAATACCAACAGGTTTTGAAAACAGCTCTGATTCAAAGCTGCTCTTCATAATGTCAACACAAAGGAAGCACAATCTGGGAATTCTGATGTATTTTTAGTTACAGTACATCATCTTCATCATCATTAAATAGAGCTTACAGTAAAGGTTGGATCTAGCATGGATCTACACCATTCAACCGCTTCCACAGTGCATGGTCTCATCGTTTCTGTCCGGCCATGGTAAAAACGTCTGGTTGTAGCAGTTTCATAACAGCAACCTGGGCTAGAAAAGAATATTAGAACAATTACATATGGTAAGACATATGTCTACCTGAAGGGGAAGCAAAGGTCCCACTATATGAAATGTGTATCTAGTCACAGGATAAACAGTCCATGATCAAAAAAAGGAGAGACACACACACAGAGATAATAATGTAGAAAAGTGAAAGATCTTGCCATTTTGTTTTTGCTAATGTAGGATAAGGACTCATCCTTCATCTTAAAATGCAGACATGTGGCTGAATTCAGGGGATCATTTCAAAGTGTTAACATAGCAATTCCTAAATAAATGAATATGGTATCTCATGCTTCATCCAAGTAGCTCAGGGTGGCTTCCACAGTTTCCCCTACACCACTTGATACATAAAACAACTCTGAGGGAAGCCACCTAATAAACTTCATGACCAAGCAGATATTTGAATCCAAACATATATAAACACCCATGAAGTTGGTCTCATGAAACATCTTGTCAGGAGAGTTTTATTACACAGGCTGATATAAATCTCTCAAAACTTGACAAAACTGCTTTCCCCATGTTTAACATTATTTTCTTATGTAAATTATTGCTCAATAAGTATTAATCTGTATCCACTATTGGCTGATGGACAGAGTATACCAATGATGGGTAGAAGTAGGGTAAGCAACAAGAAAGTTACTGAAAGTGTAGTGAGCCTTTACACAAGGATGGAATTTGGTAGATGGGAATATCCTACTGAGCTGAACAGTCAATATTTCATCAGCAGGAGAGATGAGATGCCTGACTTTTGCTTAAGAGTTGCCAAACCCATACATAGAGGGACCAGCTATAGAAACACGAGGATACAGGATATGATCCTGTAAGCCAGCCTCCCTCAACCTGGCGCCCTCCTGATGCTTTGGACCTCAGAGTGCAGCAGCCCAAGTCACCACAGTGAATGGTCAGGAATTTGGGGAGCTGTAGTTCAAAACCTCTGCCTTCTGTTAACAATTTGCTCAGTACTTTCTAGACAGTGTCACTTGAATCTGCCCCAACTTGCATGCTATAGTTGACACAACCAAGTCCTTTCTCTGAGTTCACTTTGGTCTCTTCTGGTTGCCTGATGTTGCCTAGCAGTCACAGGATTGATCTGCTATTAATAAACATTATTAGATACTGCTGTTTTTTGAGAGGGAATAAAATTTTTCTTACTGTCCATGAAGTCTATAATAAGCCAGCTGGAGAGCCAGTTGAACAAACGTATCAGGATGAAGCTGCTGTTTCTTGATTAGTGCTTTGCCAAAGGATGTAAAGGCGTAACTCACCAACTGTATGTCAGATGTCTAAAAAACAGAAACTCTGTATTATCACAGGGGAAGTAGGGCAGAGGTGAGGAACTTCCCTTTCCAGTCTCCAAGTATCCAGTCAACTATTCTCATTTCTTGCTTGCACACAACCAGATTTAGTGGAGGAAAATTCAGATAACTCGACTGTATGAAGAGTCTAGCCTTTCTGCTAGATTAAGGCAGGTATGGGGTTTCTCTGTGGGTATGTTTAAAGAGCCTGCAATTTATTTTGTTAATGTAAAGGAATCTCTTCTTTTGCAACAGAAGGGAAGACAGTGGCTTGTTTGGTTTTATTACACTCTAAACACGCACCTTCAGGGATAACAAACAAAAGCTCCTGGACACTCTCCTTCTTGCTATTGACTAATTCTTCTGTTCTTTCAGTAGAGGGCAAGCTGAGGAGCCTGTCAGGAGTCTGCTTTTTGTGGCTACTGATAGTTTTCTCAAGGACGCTTTTCCTAACCTCCATTTATAGCAGAGCTGTAGCCTTGAATTCAGGGGTGGAGAACGTGTGGCCCTGTAGATATTTTTGGATTATAACTCCCATCATCCTTGACCACTGCCTTGCCATTTGAGACTGATGGAAGCTAAGGTCCTACAACATCTGTGCTCCTGCTGTAATTGAACAGTTAGATGAATTAACTAAAAACATTTTTACAATGGAATCCTAACAGGGGGTCTCGGACATAAGACACACTAAATTCAAGTGAACCTAATTTCAGGTATGTATGTATTATGTATGTATGTACAGTATGGCTGCTATAAGCATCAGTGACTGTGCCTACAGTGTGGAGTGGAGCAGGATAAAGGACTACACATGAGCTGATGCGGATTAAAGATGCCTGCAACCCTTTTCATTAAACCTCAACAGAATTTGGCATGGCAGAGTACAAGGATACAGATGTCAGGCATCTGAAAGTGCACTGGGATCATGATAGCAGTAGCAATAATCTGAGGTGCATCAGAGCGCAAACCAATACTGTGGGCCATTTCTGTGACCTGGTATGCAGCCCCCACCCTCCCACATGGAATTTGTGTCTGAGGAGCAGGCCAAACAGGCAGTTTCCTTTCAGATCAGGCCCACTTCATAGTTCCACCCCCATCTCCCAATCACCTGGAGCAATTCAGTGTTTCTTAGGGTGCAGTCTGAGCTGTAGTGCAGCTGGGTGCACAGCCAAATTTGAACTTGGCTGCTCATGAATGGGAATCCCTCCTGCTCCTCCCCCATTCCCCTTTTGCTCATCAGAAACAAGGACTCCACAATAAACAAGAACCCAAGACTTCAGAAAAGCAAGCGTACCTGCTTCTTATACTGTTGGTTAGCTTGAGCAATGGCTTTTAACAGTTTTTGATCCAATCTGAACACAAGTTCCTGTGGCCAAGGGATTTCTCGCACTTTGTCTGATCCCTATGTTTTGTTTCAAAATAAGAAGAGAGAATCCTGTGATTTCCAGAGAGGAGGACCTACGTCATCTAGAAAAGCATGAATATACCATCACATACCTTCCATGTTCCCTCTGATTCAATGATGTGGGAATCAAGGAAAGAACCGAGGGCTACAACAGTTATGCCATCAAATGGAGTATGCTGGAAGAGATGTTATATAAAATTTACTGTATAGAGTGATAAAAGCTTGGGCCAATCTTGTTGATTTCAATCCTTTAGTCACCTTCTATAAAAATACGTTAGGTTTAACACTGCCAGTTCCCTAAATATATTGAGCTTCTTTCTTAGCTAGCTAGTGGGTTGGAGTTGTCAGACTGTATCACCCTATGAAATTAGAAAATGCTTTATAGATTTGCACATTAGGTTGGATCCAGATCTAGACATGTGCAACCAGACAGGTGGCAGCAAACCTCCCAATGCTCTCTTTGACAAGGCAGCTCCTCCAGACCCTTGAAAATAGTAAACAAAGGGGATCTTGTGGAATAGAATATGGTATGATGCATGAATAAGGTGCATCCTCCAAATTTAGGCAGAGGGTCCTTCTGTGAGCAAATTCTGCTCATGAAGGATACCTCCACCAAGTTTTCGGGGGATTTCCCCACCTCCCCTTCAGCCCTCTGCACCATAGCCCACCACATTTAGCATGGCCTCGGACTCTGTGTGCAGCAAATGGAGTGAGCAGCTGCCATGGGGAAGATGATGCATCTGGGCTGGGAAAACTGGAATTCCCTGCATCTGGACCCATCCATGGTCTCTCTACTTGGTATTTTTAAAAATTTTAACCATCTTTCAGATATTTGCCAAAGATGAATGCTGACAATGAACCTGCTGTACGAAAGGACACAAGACCTCCTCCCACCAACCATAAAAATCTGTACAGAAAGACTTTAAGGAATACAAAAAAGTGCTGCTGTTGTAGATAAAAATGCACTTACATCACAGTGTGAGCCAAATGTTCCATTTGAGAATGCAATGAGGTTATAGGATTTGTCTCCCCAGCGTAGTGTTGGATCTCCTATTAGCGCTAACCTGGTGACCTAAGTCGAGAAGTAACATGACAAACTCAGAAAGAACTTGAGAAAAATCAACAGACAAATCCAATGGAAATCATATAGTTCTTGTTTTAGCAAGCTGCATCTGAGGGTGAAGTGAGACAACGGCAAGGTCTCAAACTGCCATTTTACTCCACACACATCCAAAACTGCTTCTTGCAGTCACTGTTCTACCTAGTCATTATGAAACCTCATTAAGTGACAGTATGAAAGAACGTATAGATTGAAGCCAGGAAGTTTTAGGCCTTTTCCTCTCTCTAAATGTGTGTAAGACTGAGCCCCAATTTGTTCATTTTCTTATTCCATCCCCATTCCCTTTCAAGGTTTGTATCATGTCCCTAAGTCTGTAAGTTCTTGTTTTAAATTGCAAACTACCCTAAGAGACTCTTCATCAGACCTTCTAGATAAAGATTAAGGCTGCAGTTCAAAATGCACTAACCTAGAAGTAAATCCTACTGAAATCAATGGGGTTATTTCTGAGTAGACAAACAGAGGATTGTGCTGCAAAGCGCCAATGTTGTGTCACATTATTACATTTATATGCCACACCCATAGCTGGCAAGGCTCTCTGGGTGGCTTCCAAAAAGTAGTAACAACAATAAAACAAGAATTAAAAGATAAAATCCAATTAAAACAATAAGAAGGTAAGAACAAATGCCAACAATTAGAACATTTAATACAATCGAGTCAATTATTTAAAACAAGGAGTTAAAGACAATTAAAAGATTTTTACCGGTTATATATGTACATGTTAAATACTGTAAAGGAAGATGAATATCCAAGTTTTGGAGACACATCTTTTCCTGTTTTATACAAATTTTCCCAATTTTTACAAATTTAATAAACAAACAGTGTTCATAAAATGCAAATATCTGACCACAGCACTCCTACAGTTGGGTTCTTCAATTAGGGCATAGTCCTATGCTTGTCTATACAGAAAAGGCTGGATAATATTGGGGGTTGTAGGACTTTTATCCCTCAGAGTGATCTATGCCTCTAGCTAGCAGAGACCACAGCAACTATACATTAACAAACAGCCACTAAGAAGAGCAAAGTTTTAAAAGATGGACACAGTATAAATGGCAGTCATGTGCACACTTAACCGTGAGGGAGCCTCAGCAAACAAAGTGAGATTTACTCTTGCGTAAACATGATAGCTATATTTACTTCCCAACTTTTTTGAATTAAGCTGCATACCTACAGTTGTTTTTTTTACTAATACAACATACTGGGAATGATTTTCCTTACATTTTTATTGAATAATGCCCTGCTGAGCACCATTACCCTCTCTTCTTATCTGTCATCTATTCTGGGGCTACTTGTTCTGCAGACATTTTGGTGCTGTGCACTTTACTAACTTCTTCACCCCCTTTCTCTCTGTGGCACACTACAAGATGCACTGTGAGTATATGAAGTTGGGATTACCTGCTCATGTGACCTGTCATACCTCTATTATTCTATGATACAAACTGATGCTTAGAATGAAAATACCTTCCTGAACCTTCACTCTGAAGTACCAAGAATGCACATGGTCAGCCAAAGGTAATTGTTTTTTTTAACACAAAACAATTAAGAATGTCTTATAGTCTGGCATTACACAAGTACCTCTGTATAATCTTCAGGTACAGCATAAGGACTTGCTTCATCAAGGCAGACTGTAAATATGCTGCTCTGTATTTTTTCCAACAGAGACAGGTTCTTTGGATCCAGGTTGATAAGATAGTCACGTTCCTAAAAGACAAGTGAAATGCTGATTAAATGTGAATCTATCACGATGCACGTACTCCCTAGGAAAAAAGTAAGTTAGCCCACCTTTGCCCATGTGGTTCTTTCCTCAGACGTTAAGGCAGCCAAACCTGGCCCCTCAGGTTCACTGTGGCATCTCTTTTGGATGTAGGAAAATTGCCTTCGAGCAGGATTGAAAACAAGGAACACATTAAAGTTAGATAGTAGTTCAGATGCTAAGGTGAATTTTCTCTCTCTTATGCCTATAGCACAACTAACTTTAAACAGAATTCACATGCTGCCAACTCTACCAGGAGTGCAGGATAGTTTCCTGAATGCTAGGGTGACAGAGGATGCTTCCAGAAAAGGCTTAATTTGTGCATCTAATGAGATGCTCTAGACCAAGGGTCAGCAACCTGCGGCTCCTGAGCTGCACGTGGCTCTTGAACCCCTCTGCTGTGGCTCTGTTACTCAAAACATGCACCTGCACAGCCGCTGATCTGCTCGAAGCTCTATTCAGGAGCGTAGCTACATTCCTCTGCTAAACAAGCTTCCAGCAGGCTCTCATGTTACTCAAAATGCTGCTGAAAAGATTCTCTTTGTCCCAATGTAATCTCCTTCATCTGAATGTTAAAAGCTGCGCTTGGGACCTGTCACAATTCACAGCACTTGACTGTTTATCTGCTAATCAGTCACTAAACACACCTGTATCTCTGAGCTCCCCTCCCACCCCCACCCGCCGTAGGCCAACCATGGATAAACTGAAGTTTCTGAAAAAAACCAAACATTTAACGATAGGATACGTGGGTAGATTCATTTGCTTTTACCTCCTGACGAACTTATGGGGTTTGCTGTTTAATGCATGCAGCTCTTTAGCACTGACTTTGACTCTTCAGGAAGTTGTTCTCCTATTCAAAATATATGAAAGGAGTCCTACTAGTTTATAATGTAAGATTAAAAATAACAGTTTTTAGTGACTGAACAAGAGCTGCAGCTAAATCATAATGAAGATATACATAGCATTAAGGTAAAAAACGATATATGCAGTGTTATCTTCATTTTAGATGTCAAAAGGGTTTTGCGGCTCCTGGTGTTTTCTTTTGCGTGGGAAATGGGTCCAAATAGCTCTTTGAGTGTTAAAGGTTGCCAACT